GAAATTTGTAACAATTCCATGCTGAAACTCTGTATAATAAGATTTGCTGTGTATATAACAAACAATTTATTCCTCCTAAAGTTTTTAATGCGCGATTGTGAGAGGAAACTAATTACCCACGTAAGATATGCCTTTTCTAGATTATCCATCTTTTGCATATTCAAATAATTTTTCGACTTTTTGAATAAGAATTCACAATATGAGGAGGGAAATTGTATGTATTTTAAAAGACAAAAATTTTGGCATAGTATTTACAATAACATTTGTGAAGGACATTGAGTAGGACTTCGAATTTTGCGTTCCAACATTCAGGTGCATTGTTATTCAAAAGTGGCCTATAACCTCATGAACGTCAGTTTAAAAATGGTTATGCAGAAAATTAATTGCCTTTAACGGAATACACGGAATTTGCTTAACAAATTGGAACAACGAGAATAATCTTCATAGCATTGAGCAGCAGTCGTGAATGTTCACTTAATCTCACTATCAACAGTAAATTATCACCCCCCATATTCTCTTTCTTTTTTCCGAAACGTGTGAAGACGAGAAGGCCCAGTCTATGTCTTAAAATCCATTGCCACTTCAGGCTTGAGTACTTTGCTTCACTCAATTTATCATGTTGTGGTGTGTAGGTGCGTCTGAATTAAGGAAAAACTCACAATACCACTTCTAGCACACACTGAAGTGGTCATATGCCAGTAGCTTCATGAGGTGGCAAGTACCAAATTACAGTGGAGAGCATTCGACAAGCGTAGCTTCGGGTACCGCTCCAAACTCAGAAATGAGTAGGGTTGTCTCCTGCTACTTTCCATGGGAATTAGTCCATCCAGCTTCACAGCATTAGGATTCCATTGAGATGAATAACTGGGGGTTCTAACATGTCCTACAACGAGCGCCCTTTGAAGGACTAATTCGGTCCCAGTTACCCTGTTCCCTTCAATAATAGATCAGACTGGTCTATCGTCACCAGCGTAGCGCCTGAAGACATTATAAGTTGAGTGAGTTTCTGTGGTATTGCATTATGTGTGAAGAGAGAAGATCTGATCGAGGCGTCAAATACCCCAAGGTCGTGTCCTGAAGCCGTGGAGCCTGAAGCCTGGGTTTAGGAGCATTCACAACTAGCATGGATTTGATAAGCTCTGGTGAAGGGTCAAATGGCAATGCATTGCGGCGAGTGTGGCAGTGAAGCTTGACATTTTATTCTTTAAATTGAAGTTACAATCAGCGGATGGTCAAAAAATTTGAAAAAGGGTATGAAGCTCTAAAAGGCAAAATTTTCACCTCTAAAAAACACCTGATAGATGAGGGTTATCAATTAAAAATTGCACAGAATGAGGGGCAAGTGATCAGTGGGGGAAAGTCCAACGTACACTTGCTCGTTAATTGCCCGTTTAATTAAACATTTTAAATGACAGAGGAAGAAGAGGTTTTATGTGACACTGACAAGGAGTCATATACGAGTAATCACGATGTGACAACTGCGTCCTCTAGTGGAAAACTCCAGACCAATAACTGCAAGTAGAAAGTTTGTCTACATCACTTTTCTTAGGACTAAAAGGTCGTTTTCGGGCACCTTGTCATAAAAAGGGGCAGACAGCCCAAAAAAACGAGTGGCTAGTCACCGGGTACCAACAGACGTTCATTCAGCTTCCCAATTGTTTTCTTGAAGGCGGACGCATTCCACCATCCGATTCTCTCCTTTCTCTCGCTGTCATTGTCTCGCTAA